CCAGCCTGTCTGCGGGCCGGCCAGCCTGTCTGCGGGCCGGCCAGCCTTAGCCTTCATCTGGCTGGGACAATATGCAACTCGTCAGTCTCGGTGACATGATTGACCCTCAAGTAGGTTTACTTGAATTTATCACAGACGTTTTCACACAGTGCATTACGGGTGTTGTTGGACAGTAAATATTTATCTAGCCGAGACTCAAAATGCTTTTTGGGGTGTTAAAACTATAGCCATGGCAGCCCAGGTTGCTGCTGTGGGGCCTGGGGATGGAAGGGGGCCCCATTAGGTTGTTGAGGCAATTAAACATTAGCACATGTGAGGATAACACAGTACTGTGTCATTAAGGCTTGGGGTGGTCGCAGTTGACGACAACTCTAATCCCCTGTAAAGTCTACAGTGTGGAGACAACTTTAGAAGGACAAGAGGACTCTGGGATTTTGGCATTGTTACTCAGTTCAGAGAGAGGTTGTCAGGGGGACCCATCACATTTTTGCTATGAGGCCCTATGATCTGTAGTTACGGCCCTGGCTCTTCCGATTGGTGTTGGGATCTTCGAAGAGCTCATCAGTCCCGGTCTCTGAAGTAGCTTAGACTTCCTAGTCACCCAATCCTACGCAGGCTTATGCAACGCAGAACTCAGTGACAGTCCCGCAAAGCTGGCCTCGGCTCAGCCTGGTAAGAAGGTCCATTTAATATAATTTGGGAAAATTTTTGAAAATGTTTTTTTTTCTTCTCTTGCAGACCCCTCCGCCACCCCCGGCCGAACCTCTGCAAGTTGAACTTTTGCCAGTTTTAGCTACAGTAAGTGCATCGCAAGATGGATCCCTCAACTCCCAGACAATGGTGCACACCATGGCACATCAACACTCTTCCACCGTTGACACGGCAGCCCTCAAGCAGGTGGTGCCGGGTCTGTCCATGCCTCAACAAATGGCACCGACTCCCATCACGTCACAGCCCTCTCCTGTCAGTACGACAACCGCCCTTCCCCTGCACCCCATCATGGAACTGCCCAAGAAGTCAAAGAGCCGAGGCCCCTACATCTGTTCCTTGTGCTCGAAAGAGTTTAAAAACGGCTACAACCTCAGAAGGCACGAAGCAATCCACACGGGTACCAAACCCGCCCGGGCGCAGCCGGCTGCCGTTAAGATGCCCACGATGGTGCCGCTCAGTTTGCTCAGCGTGGCCGGGACGCTCGGGGCAGGTACGGAAGGCCTGGAGGTGCAAAATTCCGCCTCTACGCTTTCCCTTTCGGTGCCCGGGCCCGCCCCCACAGCCAAGAAGGTGCGCAAGAACCATGCCTGCGAGATGTGCGGCAAAGCCTTCAGAGATGTCTACCACCTGAACCGCCACAAGTTGTCGCACTCTGACGAGAAGCCCTACTCCTGCCACGTGTGTCAGCAACGCTTCAAGCGCAAGGACCGGATGACGTACCACGTGCGTTCCCACGACGGCACGGTGCACAAGCCCTACATCTGCAGCCACTGTGGAAAAGGATTCTCGCGGTAAGAGGGGCTAATGGCGGGGCTGGGAAACCAGCAGTTGAATGATGCGCAGTTGTAGAACCACAAGCCCCAGCGCTCCTTGCTAAGAGCTGTAGAGTTGTAAGTTTTGGAAGGCAACCTGTGCAGAGAGAGATATTGGCCCTTCCTCGGGACGCCTCTGGTCTAAAGACCAGAGATAAGACGAGGTTGCGTAAGCTCTACACCGGAGCCCTAGACTATGAGTAACAGAAATCCAAATTGTATCAATGGCCCGCTATAGTCTTGTCATGCGTCATACTTTCTCCACTGTCTGTCTCTCATAAATATATTGTGATTCTTTTTCTTTTCAGCCCTGATCATCTGAACAGTCATGTCAGACAAGTTCATTCCACGGAGCGTCCCTTTAAATGCCAGGTACTTTCTACACCGTCTCCCCCTCTTGCATGCGCTAAAAGGATAACTATTTTTTTTTAAAGATAATTTTTATTGATTTTTGCAAGTGTCAGAGACACAACATTGATAACAACAACACCATCAACAAACAACAATTGGGTCAACATAACCCAGGCATTTACACATCAGTACACTCTCTATGTTTGTCACAAGGTTACAAGGTTACACAAGTTACACAAGCTGTGGATGCAATATTCAAGGTTCAAGACATGGTGATAAAGCTCTAAGATAGGTATCACAGAACATTGAGAAACCAACTCAGCCACATATATCAGCCGACCAAGAGTATCACCTAGGACTCATAGGTCCAGGACTGGGGGACTCAGGGCCAGAGTTAGTAGTACTACCCCGTTTCCAAATTTGTGTTTGAGGAGGCCAGCCATGGGTCCCATATGCGGCCAAAAGGATAACTATTTCTATTGACACATGGCGACTTCTGTAATAAACCCGAACAAATCTAACCCGTTACATTTTACTATTTTCTCTCCTGTGGAGAAGCGTCAGTAAGATCCCTGCCAGATAATACTTTGAAGTGGCCAGGCTTTGGACATCCAGGTATTTGCCTATTCTTACTGAGCAGTCAATAAGCTTTAAAACAAGACATGAATGACCTCAGTAGCTGCAGGAATTGTGCACCAATTCATCCTCAGAATCCAAAGCAGAAGCACTCGGGTCATTGACTTGGCTCAACTATTTACTCAGCTACTCGGCTCGCTCTGTTTCTCCTCCCAGAGGTCTTACTTTGTGTTCATATTAGAGATGAGCTGAGAGGGGGGATCAGAGTGAATTGCTCACTGCTTTCTGCTGTGAATTTTGAGGATGAAATGTTCTAGAATGCTGTCGGCTATAGAGGTCAGTGAGGGCTTATTTTAAAGCATGACTGCTTGTTAAGACTATCAATACCCGAATGCCTATAACATGGCCACAGGGTCACTTTAATCCTTGTATGCATCTTTTTCTGGAGCTCTTTGGGCTCCGTGTATCAGATAAGGCATCTCTGGCTTCGACATGCGTGTGTGTGTGTGTGTGTGTGTGTGTGCTTCTACAGGCTTGTGAACATGTTTGTGTTAGTCAATGGAAGGCGTTTTCTTGAAATCCACTTGCAGGACCACATAAAGCTGTGCAGTTTGTGTGCATCGTGGGGCTGGGACTCTGTGCACGCTTATTGTTTCAAGCTCTCCAGCAATAATTTCCTTTTTCAAGCCAATGTCCTTTTTAACTGTCTAACAGACGTGTGAAGCTGCCTTCGCTACGAAGGACCGTCTGAGAGCGCACATGGTGCGACACGAGGAGAAGGTCCCATGTCACGTCTGCGGGAAGCTCCTTAGCGCCGCCTACATCACGGACCACATGAAGGTTCACAACCAGGGCCCCAACCACGTGTGTGAGCTGTGCAACAAAGGTAAGAGGAATGTTTTGTGTGCCTTCATACTGCCATCCCCGCATGACACCAGGACACTTCCTATAACTCTAAGTGGGCGTATCCCAATGTCCAGCAATGCTCTTCTCAGCCAGGTTGTAAAAACCTAATTTGGTGGGTTGGGGTGGTCGATATGTGAGAGCCCATTGGCTTCGTAAGCCTAGGAGTGGTCGGTAGGTTTGGGTAGGAGGACAACTCCAAGGGTTCTGGGGGTGTGGGAGGGTAGTGATTGGCTTTACACTTGACTCCATACCTTCAAACCACGAGATCTTCAACTGTTGAAGCTCTTTGGCCACCTTTCTGAAGCTAGCCAGAGTTCTTTGTTGGCCCTATAGATCCCTTGTGGGGATTTCCCCACCAACCAGCTGGCTCCATTACGGTGGGCAAAAAGACCTGAACTTTGAAGGTCTCTAAACTGAAGGGACAAAGGGAATAGTGAAGCTTGTCACCACCCCTGATTGTCAACAACCCTGTGCCGGGGTTGTGAAGGTAATTTTTAGGTTTAAACTATTTATTGGGCACCTCAGCATATTTTCATTTTTTTTTAGGTTAGTAAATAGTGTTTTTTGTTTAATTTGGCTGTGAGGGAGAACCTCATGGGATGGGATGAACTTATAGCTATACTGCTCAGGGGTGGGATTTAACGGCACAAGTACATTTAATGGTAAATAACGAGCCAATTTTGATGGCCTTTTAGAACTCTCATCATCAGTCCTTTTAGCTATGCATGGCTTCACTCACAAGCTCTGCTGAGGAAACGTTCTGTCTCTAATACCCTGTCCTGTCAGGTCAGTGAAAGGGGATGTTCATTGACGTGAAAAATCAGTGTGATAAAATATGTTGAGTTTTTTTTTTTAAGATTTCAACATAAAGTCTAAGACTGTTTCTGTGCTCGGGGCTATTCTGTGCTCTTTAGTTTAATTCAGCTAGTAAATTAGAAAGTGGGATCGTTTGGTGTGGTTAACTCCTCAGAGGTGGGGCTTATGTAATTAAATAAATCCTAGGACCAGCAACATGAGGCTTAAAGGTAAACTCCAGGCAAATGGCCATATGCACACACATAATGTAAAATATACGCCTGGTTTTATATTCCCAATTTTTTTGGGGTGATTATCACCCCCCTGCCAGAGTATGTAGCCTGTTAGGTGCCCCCAGTATGCTCTATGGAAGCGGTACAGCTCCTTATATCGCCTGTCCGCCCAATGGATAGAATGAGCGTCATCCTGCACCAAGGTCACCCCATGCCCCCCTCTTGTAGGTTTTACCTACATCTCCTGCGCCCTCCAGCCATATGTAACCTGACGCATACTAGCTTGGTAGCACTATGCAGTGCCACAGATTCTGATTGGCTCACCGAAAGCTTTTTTCTTTTGGCTGTGCATGTAAATGATTTGCCTGGAGGTTGGCTTTAAATGTTTAAGTCACTAGTACTGAGATCCCCATGCTGAACTAAATGTTCCTTGCCTGGTTCCCATATCAGATCGCTGGCCCACCCCTGATGGTGTCTCACTTCTTCTTCTGCTGTATGCCCAATGTCACAATGAGACCCTTTTATATAGCCTTTACAGGGAGGCAGGAAACTCCAGGGGGGGCGGGGCAGTGATCCCGCCATCCTTCAGTGAAGCAATGCACAGCTCAGTCTCCGCAAGGGTAGGGAGGTTTAAAGGGACGGCTCCAACCAGGGCCAATGTTCTGTGACCGATGGTCGTCATGGGCTGGCTTCTGAGATTTCCTGAAGCTTCCGGTGACGGGGGACCTGTCCTGGAGCGCTGCCGTTGATGGTGTCACCCTCCCCCTAATGGACTCTCCACAATGTAAATAATGAAGTGGGGAGTTCAGCAGCAGGAGAGTGACATCATAGGGAGCGAGGACCAACCCGCCGGAGGCAGATCTCCACCCGTGGAGTCTCGGGGTATCAGAAGTGGGCGATAGAGGTCGCTGGCACCAGCATAAAAATTACTGTTGACCTTTAATTGTAAATCTTAATTTTAAAGCTGAATTCCAGGCAAACCACTGAATACACACGTAGGAGCTTTGCCTACTAGATTTGTATTTCTGTCCATCCATTCCTGAGGTTTCCACAGCTCTACCACACAGCATAGATCTGCAGCAGAGAAACGTCAAGTCTTCTGCCAGACAGGGGACCTGATTTTTCTCTGCTGCAGTTAAGTGACACCCAAGGTCTTGTCCCTTCCCCCAGCTCACTCTGCTCCTCTCCTTCTATTAGCATGCCCCTTGGTGGCACTGCAGCACGACTGATTGGCTCCCTGTGCTGCTTTTCCTCCCCCCAGTCTGAGCTCTGCTGTGTGAGGATAACAGGCGGATACCAAATCACTGTGCTTGCATTAAAAAAAAAAAAACATTTAATGTATTATATTTTATTCATTTGTGTCTTTTTATATCTGCCTGGAGTTCAGCTTATTAGTTTCCTGGTTGTTGTAGGGCAGGGGTGGGGAACCTCTGGCCCCCCGAGCTGTGTTGGAACTTCAAATCCCATGATGCATCTTTCTCTTGGAGTCGTGGCTGTGAGAATCTTGCAATGCCTCATGGGATTTGTAGTCTCGCCACAGCTGGAGGGCCGGAGGTTCCCCACCCCTGTTTGGAGGGTATAGCTGGTGTGGGTGCTTTGATTTTGGGGGGGGGAGGGATGGGGGGGTGTCAGTTTCTTAGTAGAGAGCAATGCCTGTGGCCCGGCCTTAAAGCGGCGTGTGCTTCTCCCCCCCGTGCAGGTTTTGCCACGGCCGCCTACTTGCGGGTCCACTCGGTGAAGCATCACGGTCTGGTGTGCCCACGGGCAGACAGCTTCCTCTGCAAGTTGTGCAGCGTACACTGCAAAACTCTGGCTCAGCTGAGCGGCCACATGCACACACATGCCATGGCGGGGGCCACGGGCCTTGCTGAGGGGCCCATACTACTGCAGTGACCACGGCTAAGGCAAGAGAGTAGTTACCTTTCCCTTCTCCTCCCTTCCCCTTCTTCTCCTCCCTTCCCCTTCTTCTCCTCCCTTCCCCTTCTTCTTCTCCTCCCTTCCCCTTCTTCTTCTCCTCCCTTCCCCTTCTCCTCCCTTCCCCTTCTCCTCCCTTCCCCTTCTTCTCACCCTTCTGCTGCTCCTCCCTTCCCCTGCTTCTTCTCCTCCCTTCCCCTTCTCCTCCCTTCCCCTTCTTCTCCTCCCTTCCCCTTCCCCTTCTTCTCCTCCCTTCCCCTTCTTCTTCTTCTCCTCCCTTCCCCTTCTTCTTCTTCTCCTCCCTTCCCCTTCTTCTGCTCCTCCTCCCTTCCCCTTCTTCTGCTCCTCCTCCCTTCCCCTTCTTCTGCTCCTCCTCCCTTCCCCTTCTGCTCCTCCTCCCTGCCCCTTCTGCTCCTCCTCCCTCTCTGGGGCTGTATGCATTGTGGGTAGCTGGAGCTGTCCTAAGCATTGCTGGGTCTTGGGGGTACGGCCCATAATCCTCTCTCTTGTCCTCTTTCTTAGCAGATATGATGGAATTTGCCGAACGCCATTAAAAAAATCTGCCTCTTGATTTGATCTATTTAGATGATGGCAGCTGATTATAAAAGCATTTCCTGCCCCGTTAGACATGCCTGTCCCTCCATAGAGCAGGGGAGGCAATCTCAGCACTGCGGTGAAACTACCAATCCCATCACGTCTTTAGCAGGCATCCCTGTGGCTGTCAGTGTCATGGGACTTGTAGTTCGGCAGCAGCCGCAGTGCCGAGGTTGCCCACCCCTGTAGTAGATTCTCGTTTAATCCACGCTTCCTTTCTGCCGCTCATTCTGCTGCCTGATTAGTTTTTGTTCTGTGTCTTTATTCTGCACATTTTGTTTATGCTTTTGCTTAATTTTTTGTTTTTATGTTGTTTTTATAATGTGACTCCAAATGAAAGTGTCGGTAAAGCCGAACCTTCGTTTCTGGGGAGGAGGCGGGAGGGTTGGACCCCCGGTCAGGTTTTATTTGCTGTCTGGGTCCCCATTGGGGAGATGCACCACCCTCCCTGTCTGTCGTGGTGACCGTTGTCTCCAGTACAGGAAGTGATGGAAAATCTTCTATCGGTGACACCTGTTATGGTGACCACTGAGAGGGGATAAGACCACGTTGTTGTGTCTCCAGACAGACTGCAAAAAATAAAAACTTGACGGGGGTCTCAGTCATTCTCTACTTTTATCTAAAAAAAATAATAATCCAGGAAAAGAAAGCCAGCAAAGTTTATTGGTCCGGAACAATGAACAGAACCACCTTCACTAACGCATTTCACCCACAAGGCTGGGCTTAATTGCACAGCTTTTATTAAGCCCAGCCTTGTGGGTGAAATGCGTCTTAAGTTTAACCAGCGTTGTATTTTAATGAAGTGCCACCGGCTTTGTTTTCCTGGGTTGTTTGTTTTGGGGTACAGGGCGAGGCCCTGCCCGGCAGCGGGTCTTTTATTACTTTTTTGGGCTTGCACACATTTAAAGAAAAAATATTTTTTGGCTTTATAAACGCTTTACTGTATCAAGGGAGTGGAGCAGGGGGTAGGCAGCCTCGGCACTTTCTCAGTCTTCCATAGTCAATTAGCCCCTTTTAAACCAGGGGTGGGCATCTCTGGACCCTCCAGCTGTTGTGGAACTACAAGTCCCATGAGGCATTGCAGGACTCTGACAGCCAGTGGGCATGACACTCGGAGAGAAGCAGGATGGGATTTGTAGTTTCACCGTAGCTGGAGTGCTGAGGTTGCCTAACCCCGGAGTAGAGTGTTTGAGCGAAGCTAAAGCGCTGCTTTAATGTCCTGGTCTGAGAAACGTAGGGGGCCGACATCGCAATCCCTTCCTCCTCTCGTCAGTCTAGGACAGGGGAAGGCAACCTTCAACCTCTATAGCTGTGGTAAAACTACAAATCCCATTGTGGTTGCCAGTGTCTTGCAATGCCTCATGAAACTGCTGAAGGCTGAGGTTGCCTTCCCCCTAAACTTTGAATAAGGAATGTGGGGCTTTGGGGGGAATACAGGCTTACAATGGGTATTTCAAACCATAGATTATCTCTAAATAGCATTGCTACGCTCTATCCTCCTTCGCTCTATTAGTTCCTGTATGATACATGGAGTCACCCTTTAAGCTCCGCCCCTCATTTTGTTAACCTGCCCAGTTCTCATCTGGTTTTTTGTCTCCTTTCTTACAGGGACCTGCCAAGTCTGCCCTATGTCGGACCCAACGGCCGCCGTGACCGCCGTCCTGCCCAACGCTACTATCCCTGGCATCTTGCCGTCGCAGCCCTGGTGACTGGCTCTCCTGGAGGGGGATACAGACGCTGCGGCCTCTCTCTTCTGATGTGTTTGTGTACAGACTGGTGGGGGGGGCGGTGGCTCCCCTTGATGCGCACATATGTATTATGAAGAGGGGGTGCGTGTAACCTCCTCCTGTCGCCTTCAACCTCCCCCCAAAGGGAGGATTTAGGAAGGCGACAAGGAAAATCGGAAAAAAAAAAAAGGAGCACCATCCATACCGACAACTTTGGTATTCCGAACACCCCCTATTGCCCCATATTCACTACTAGACACGACCTGCACTGGGCAAAACTTTATACACTACACCCCCCTGGGTGGCAGGAAGAGGAGTGTAGTGTTTTAAGCGGCATGTGGCCCATGTGGTGAAACGTTCCAATGTGGGCAGAGCAGCGGAGGCGGCACGTAGGAGATGACGCGTGCTTTGCCACCCACAACGGATGAGCCACGCAGGTCGGCAGTAGGGGGAAGTTGCCGCACGGGCTTGTCTAGAAGAAAAAAAAATCGGACTTTACTAGATGTTCTGCCTGAAGCTTTGCCAGGTTGTCGGACAGACGCAGTGTCCTGGGGATGGTGTAGACCTATTTCATTTTTATGAGTTTTAATAACACTAGAAGAGTTCTTTTTTTTATTTTATCTTTAATCTTTACCAGTTCAAAAGCTGGCTGTGAAGAGGGGGGAACGTATAGAATTTCAGAAGGCCCCCCCGTTATTGTAGAATTAGGGAAAGAAGTTCCACTGAAACAGTATTGGTGCTGCAGAGAGGGCGACGGTGCACTCTCTATAATGGAACGTGGGGGGGTTGTTTCGGAGGAGCAGGCGAGGGGTGGGGTGGGTTGTACAGGAGACTTACTGAAGGATCAAGAGGATATATTGGAGGAGCATAGAGGAATGGAGCAGGGAGGAAAGGGTGTTGTACTGCAGGAACGGGGAAACCGTACCTAAGGAACATGGAGAACTGGGGTTATACTGAAGGAATGAGGGAGGGTTCTGTACCAGAGGAGCAGGATGGAATGAGGTGGCTGTACCAGAGGAGAAATTAAGAACAAGCGGGCTCTATCAGAGGAGAAGCAAGGAATGGGGGCTCTACTGAAGGAATGGTGGGCTCTATAATGGAGAGGAACAGGAAAAACCATAGGGGCTGTACCATTTGAGGGGGGAAGCCTTGCTGAAGGAGCAGGGAGGAACTCAGCGGCCTTGTTGGAAAAGAGGGGAGGGACCTGGAGGCCTTTCAGTAAGAGCGGGGAGGAACCTTGAGGCCTTTCTGGAAGAGCAGGGAGGAGCCTTGAGGCCTTTCTGGAAGAGCGGGGAGTAGCCTTGGGGCCTTTCTGGAAGAGCAGGGAGTAGCCTTGGGGCCTTTCTGGAAGAGCAGGGAGTAGCCTTGGGGCCTTTCTGGAAGAGCAGGGAGTAGCCTTGGGGCCTTTCTGGAAGAGCAGGGAGTAGCCTTGGGGCCTTTCTGGAAGAGCAGGGAGTAGCCTTGGGGCCTTTCTGGAAGAGCAGGGAGTAGCCTTGGGGCCTTTCTGGAAGAGCAGGGAGTAGCCTTGGGGCCTTTCTGGAAGAGCGGGGAGTAGCCTTGGGGCCTTTCTGGAAGAGCAGGGAGTGGCCTTGGGGCCTTTCTGGAAGAGCAGGGAGTAGCCTTGGGGCCTTTCTGGAAGAGCAGGGAGTGGCCTTGGGGCCTTTCTGGAAGAGCAGGGAGTAGCCTTGGGGCCTTTCTGGAAGAGCAGGGAGTAGCCTTGGGGCCTTTCTGGAAGAGCAGGGAGTAGCCTTGGGGCCTTTCTGGCGGAGCAGGGAGGGAACCAGGGTACTTGCTGGAGGAGCAGGGAGGAAGCCAGGGGCCTTGCTGGAGGAGCAGGGAGGAAGCCAGGAGCCTTGCTGGAGGAGCAGGGAGGAAGCCAGGGGCCTTGCTGGAGGAGCAGGGAGGAAGCCATGGGCCTTGCTGGAGGAAAGTTTGCTTTCAGGAAACTGTATCTGAGCAGCAGGGAGGAACCAGGGCTCTATAAAAGAATTTTGGGACTGCTGAAAATGATCAAAAACCGAAATATTGGCAGCAGAAAAGAGGATGAGAAGTTTGCTCTATTGCCCTGATTATGATGGCGGATAATGCCCCGGGGGATTTGTTGCAAAGTTTAAATGTCATGATATCCTTGTGCAGAGTTTCAGGACACAATGCAGGGTGAGGACTAAAACCTGGCATTCCCATTCCTTTATTTTTATTTTTTTCCCTTCCATGTGTCATCTTGCTCATCAAATCCTTCACTATCTGTGACTCTCACCTGAAGCCGTTCACCACCCTGATGAGCTTAGAACTTTGCAATTGGTTTTACGAACTTTGGGAGCAACGGCCTCTATAGCAGAACAAGTCGTAAACTGTGTTGCCCTGACAACGCCTACAAATGCTGCTGATGAAAGTGCTTTTGTAGATGGCGATAAGGAAATTGAAAAGCAAGCTGTGATTATTGGTGGACGATCAGGTCTCATGGGGCTCTGAATGATGGGAGCGTGGGTTGGGGGGGGTTGTAGATCTTGGTGTCACTGGAGCCCAAACAGATTTCTTCTTCAGCCACTTTCAGATTTGACCAAGCACCCATCTGACCCTAGTATTTCTGTCCTGGTCTTGTCAATCACATTTTGTGCAGTGTTTCAGTATTAAGGATGCATCCTACTCAAGTGATTCTGAATTAGACCAAACACTCTATATAACCAAAAGTATGAGGACACCCCTCCCAGTCATTTCCGTTCTGGTGTTTCCAGTGAAGGTTAGTGTTAATTTATCGGCACACAAAGACAGTTGTGTTCTTCCAACCTTGTGGCAATGGTTTGGGGAAGGTCCTTTCTGTTCCACCATGACTGTGCACCAAGCCAGTTCCGTACAGACATGGTTTGGAGGAACTTGAGAGGCCTCAACAGAGCCCTGACCTCAACCCTACTGAGCACCTATTGAACGCCAGATCTTCTCATCTCAACGTCCATGCCTGAGCTCACAAGCGCTTTTTTGGCTCAGTGGACACAAAGTCTGAAATTTTATGGGAAGCCTTCCGAGCAGATCTGAGGCTGTTATAGTTACACATGGAGGGTCAACTCCATATCAATGGCTATGGTTTTGGAATGGGGGTGTCCAACAGGATCATATATGTTTGATGGAGCGGTATCAACAAACCCTTGACCATGTAGTATATCTTGGGAAATCTGCTTCCACCCCTTAAGAGCCTTTTGGCTCAATGGTCACAATCTCCCACGGCCACACTCCAAAATCATTTGGAATGTAATTTCTGTTCCACCATGACTATGCACCAAGCCAGCTCCATACATACATACATGGTGGAACTTGAGAGGCCTCAACAGAGCCCTGACCTCAACCCTACTGAGCACCTATTGAACACCAGATCTTCTCGTCCCAACGTTCATGTCTGACCTCACAAATGCTTTTTTGGCTCGGCGGACACAAAGTCCTACAGACACACTATAAAACTTTATGTAAAGCCTTCCCAGAAGATCTGAAGCTGTTATGGAATTGACCCTCCATGTGTATCTATACCAGTGGCCATGCTTTTGCACTGGGATGTCCAACAGGATCATATAAGTGTGATGGGGAGGTGTCAACAAACCCTTGACCATGTAGTATACCTTAGGAAATCTGCTTCCACCTCCTAAAGAGCTTTTGGCTCAGTGGGCACACTCCAAAATCATATGGAAAGCCTTCCCAGAAGTTCTGAGGCTGTTATAGCCTTAGAGGGAGGATCCACCCCATATCAATGGGCATGGTTTTGGAATGGGGGCACCCAACAGGATCATATACGTGTGATGGGGAGGTGTCAACAAACTTTTGGCCATGTAGTATATATTGGTAATACAGAGTCCGCCTCTAAAGAGCGGCTGATTAAACAGCCCCTCCCAGGTGGGAAGAAGTCTTTTAGGCTTCACATTGGAGTTCTAAAAAACAGTTTTTGATCCATTTGGTTGCATGTTACCGCAGTAACGGGCTAAAATGCACTAAAACGTCAGAAAAATGTGCGTTAAAAGGCATCAAAATGTAGCGCAATCGCAGATTGATGAATCGGGACCCGTGGGTGAAAGGTTTCAAATTAATAATTGGATTGACTGGAGATTGATTCATTAAATTGTCTTTTTTTTTTCCCCCCAGAAAGAAAGCGGTTTTGTTGATGGTTTTTACTGGTCTTGAAATATTTTCCATCATGGTTGTCCTTGTCAAAAATGTATAAAAGTAGACAAAATTTAGTCGCAAAATGCATGAAATAAGTGATTTTTCTGACCTTTTTTTTTTTTAATGGGCTCAGTGGATTTTATTTCATTTTTCTTTATTTTATTGTAGGGTAGAATAGGATTTATTTCTCCCAAATTAGTCATTTTTTTAAAATGTTTTTAATGTCTTTTATTTTAATTGTCCCCAAGTGTACTGCGCAAAAACAATGTGTGCGGTAAGTCATAGCGGTCCCTTAAAGTGTATGTCTGGGCATTCGAGGGTTTGAACGAACTTTTATTGTAGTGTCAGACCTGTTTCTAGTCTGAGGAAATGGAGGTTTTCCTCCAACTGGAGAAGTAGGAGGGTCCGCCTTCATTATCACCACCTGAGCAACCTCCGTGTTGTATAAAGGACAATGGCATCACCTGCATCACATTGGGCAGAAGGGACTGAAAGCTGGAGAATAGGGGAGCAGCAGACTGGAGTTGTTACCGACGGCATGCAGTCTGGCTTATTCTTTGATCTTATGGAAAAATATATTAAACTTGCATTGTGATTGGTCTATTCCGTTTTCAGTAAATGTATCTTTTACGCGGCTGCCTCTAATTTGACTTACAGCTCTGTGCAGATACCTGGAGAAGGCAGTAAGCCAAGAGCAGGGATGGGGATATTGGATTTCAGGGGGGGGGAGTTCTGTACCTGTGTGGTGTACACAATACTCCCAGTTTGTCATGTTGCAAGAAAGTGACACCTGATTACAATGGAAAAGGCAATTTTTTTTTAAGTAGATCTCATTAAAGCTTAAACATGTAAATGTGACTTCCGAAGTTGTTTTCAATCTTTTCCAAACTGCAATTTACATTAAAATAATAATAATTGGTGATCCCGCCATAAAGATCCTTGCTCGGGCACTTCCTGTGATGGGGGGGGGTGGTGGTGGTGTAACAAAGCTCTGTCCCTGTCTCCCATTTACGGTCCTGCGTGGTCACATGGTCACATGGTGCACTGGGCAG